AATAAAGTCAGTGCAATTGTAATAGATATGTATGATGTGGGAGGGACAGTAGATTGGGGAAGGGGGGTTGTCACTTTGTAGGGAGTGAAATGTTTGGCTATTGCATTGTTTTGTGCACCTGAAACTTAAAAAAAAGAAGTGCCTTCTCTTGACCCACTGAGGTTAGAGGCTAAAGACTGCTTCAGGACCATACTCCACCTTCTCTTTCACCAGTGTCCAAGAAAATCTTGCCTATGCTTAGCTGGGATACACAGAAAGAAATAAAATTAATACTTCGGTAGCTCCATTTCCTACTTCCTATGATATTTGGCCATCTTAGGATTCACTCTTTTCCTCTAGGTTCTAGGGAAGACTTCTTCCTCTTTGCTGCTCTCCTAATACCTAATCTTAAGGAAGCTCATTTACCTTTTCTCCTGTGTACTCTTCCAAGAGGGTACATAGAACACAGGAGAAAAAAAAAGAAGTTTGCAAAAACATAGTTAAAAGTTTGGATTTTAAAAAATCTGTGCATTTCTAACTTGTTTGCTTAAAGTAATCTGTTAAACCCTGACTGACAAGTCATAGTTATTAAAATATGCACTTTTGGAAAGTCACTCAAGGTCTAACGCGGTCAACAGACTTATCTTAGAATAGAAAGCCAATGGACAACACTAGGATGAACACAAATCTTAACTTTCTTTTTCTTAGCTGAGCCATCCTGCCACCTGTTGGCAGCTCAGCAGCTGCTCAGCTCGGGCCAGGATGAACCAGGACTCAAACCACTGTTGCTCAGAGCTCGCACTCTTGACCGAGCTCTTAACCAACTGAGCCACTCGGCTGGCCAAATCTTAACTTTATGNTGTGTGTGTGTGTGTGTGTGTGTGTGTTGAGTGATTAGGCTATAGGAAAGGAAAAAAAGAGAGCAAAAAACAATGTGTAGAAATCAAACACTTAATTTTCTAACATTTAACCACGGTATTCATAGTTCCTGTAAAGATCCAACATTAAGGAGTCAAACATTCGAATAAAGAGAAGTCTGACTAGAGGGTTAACTTCCATAAAAAATTAAGATAAGTTAGCTCTGTATTAATTAAACATGAAACCATAGCAAGCTAACATATGACAAAATAAATAGGAATTATGGAACAGATTGTAACATATATAAAGAGGGGAAAACCTTTATTTTTTTTAAAAAAGATACTAGATATGGTAACATTTTAAATTTATATCCCATCTTGTTCCAAATGGCATTTAAGATGACTAGATTGGGAAATTAATTCTTCAATTTGGTAGTATTCTAAATCTTGGGGTATCCAAATCATTAGTAGCAATACTTTAATAGAGAAAATTTTGATTCTGGGACCGGAAAGGAGTAGGGAAATGTAATAGGAAACAGGATGCTGAAATCAAAATCCTACAGAGAGAGATGAATTTAACCTGAATTCCCTTACCTTTGATCAGAACTAGAATACAGCAATTCTCCACAAACATCAACTTATTTAAAACTTTTTAGGAAACTTTAGGGATGTTATTTAGCAAAAACTTAGTTTTATCAGAGCCATTAGTCAAAGGGTGGTATGATAAATTAAGATCCTTTTTGTCAAGTCCATCTTTTGACAGACAACACCCATCAAGAGCAAATTCACTTTATATTACACACCACAGCACAGATTTTAAGACAGTCTCCACCATTCACAAAATCCATGCACATGCACAGAAAAGCCATTTGAAGCATCACCTTTAGATAGCAGGTTAACAGCCCAAAGTGCGCCACAAGACTGCATCTTAAAGTTCCCTTTGATCAGTTACTGAGCTCGGCTTCTGATGTTAAATCTTCATTTTTAGTAAGCAGATTAGAAAGGAAAAGATTAGGTGAGAGAATGAAATGCAGAAAATAGTGAATGCCAGTCAAACAGAACAGAAGTATGTTCAGAGTTTTCACAACAATGCATTTCAATTCCTGCCTGATTTCATTGAAACAATCAACATCTGAGAATCTAGATAAAAAGAAAAACAAGAAAACTATTTAAAACAGAGCACACTTCATTTTTCGTAAGAATGTCTAGGTAATGATAGTCTTTCCTAAAATTATGAAAATTAATATGAAAAGCCAAATACTAATGGAGAGGTTGTGAAACTTCCTCACTCTTTCCTTGATTACAGATTTCTCTTAATTCTATTATATTTTTTGTTTGCCATTTTAATTTTAAAAAATCTTCTTACGGGCCGGCCGAGTGGCTCAGTTGGTTAAGAGCTCGCTCAAGACTGCGAGCTCTGAGCAAAAGCGGTTCAAGCCCGGGCCCGAGCTGAGCTGCCNTTGAAGTGATCTAAATAAACGATAGGGGGTTTGACTGAATAATTATGGTATAACTACATGATAGAATGTTATGCAGCCAGTTAAAAGTATTTTTTGAAGATTTTATATTCTTTCATATTTAGTTTTAACCAAGTATATATACATTGTTTGAGAAGTCAAATGGTTCCACAGCAGTAATTAGCATTCCTCTGCCCTCCCTCCTGTCCAAACCAATTCCTGCTCCCAGGACCCTAGAGGCAAAAATTTCAACAATACTAGTTGTTCCAGGGTTTAACTCCACATTTCTAAATCACATGCTTATAGCGTTGTTTCTTGATATTTAAATTTTGGATATGATTCATTGACTTTCTACAATGAAGATATTTAGCTCATATCTCCCCATCTCCTAGTTTTTATATTTATCCTCACATTATGGAGTGGCTGGATAATTAAATTCTTAGTTGGAAATTAGAAGTCCTGAAGCAGTAAAGAAATCTGTTTAACTGTGGCTATCCCAATCAAATATAGATTGCCATAAAATCCTTCCTTCCAAAATATTTTTATTAATCCCAAGGAACCAGGATTCCATGCAATGCCATATGGAAAATGCTAGCCTACAGAGATTTCTGCTGAATTAACCAATTATCTGGGAACAATGTTTCTGTTTAATCCTCATCTCAGAGAATTGTCTCTGAAGAGAAATCAACCTCAGATTATCTAGTCCAACTCCTTGATGCTAAGAGAGTAAAACACAACTCTTCTGGCTCTTAGACTCTGTATAATACATGATCCTTACTGGCAGCAGGAAAGGGTGGGGGTTGGGGACCTTCTTGGAACAGACTTGATAGTAGTTGAGGAAGAGAAGCAGTTGCAAAGGCCTGTGGTTTTAGGAAGTCAAGCCAGACTAGAGTCCAACCGAAGAGAGAAGCTATAGGCCAGGGGTGTCAGAAGAGAATGTGGTAAAAACTACCACCTAGCTATGGTGACCTCCCCAAGAGAGGTGAAAACTCCCTTATGCTGACGGATGAAGAACACTGAGGA